GAGGTGGTGACGTCATCGAGTACGCTGCTGTCCCAGTGGCACATAAACGGCGACGCGTTCTCCCGGACTCGCTAGATCGTACTCGCGAGTACGGACTAGCGAGAACACAAGTACGGACTTGCGTACTTCAGTATTGAGACACGGCTACTGTGATTGGCTGCTGTAATTAAGATTGATTCAGACCAGAGGTAAACACCCAGGCTATCAACATGAGCAGTCGCCAGGAAGTCTCCAGTCGGCGATAAGGACACACCCACTGGCGCCGTGGCAACCAGGAAACAGTCCACGAGACTGTGGGGAGAATAAAAGGATTTTTGATTATTGATTTGTACTGATCAGCTGGGATCAGATCAGCCGGGAACGACTGGAAACACATCATTAACACGTCGGGGCTCTCTGACTGGATGCTGCCACAACTGTTGCTTAGCAACCTCCCTGAAGCTGAAATTGTTCTGACCAGCTGAATCTTGAATAAAGTTTGATTTGAATGAATCGTGTTGTTAATACAGCGGACGGTTCCACTCTCACCATCCAGAGGGAAGGTCCCAGGTACGGATGGTGCAGTCCATTGCCACGGTAACCAACCAGCGGCCATCAGGGCTGAATGTCTGAAACAACCACAACTGTTAGCATAGCCAGCTAGCATTATCAGCAGGCAGATAGCTGCTTTAGCTTTAACCACACCCACCATATCGTTGATGTTGCCATGGTGACCAGCAAATTTTCTGACAACTCTTCTGGTTTCTATGTCAACAACCACCACAGTGAAGTCATCCAGCGCTAATGCTAGCATTCCGCTAATAGAAAAGAATTGGAAAACACGTTATCTGTTTGTGTGTAGTATCATGCTAACAGTCAGATGCTGGCTAAAAGCTACCGATCTCTGTGTAGCATTGTGCTAACTGTTTCGGTCTCTAAGAGTGATGTTTACTGCTAGCATCATGCTAAGTGTTAGCTACCTGTCTCTGTGTAGCATCATGCTAGCTGGTGCAGAGCCTAGCTTCAGCTGTTCCTCCTGTTTCTTTGTTTTGAAGCGCCAGAACTTTAGCAGCCAATCAGAGCCAGTGGTGAGGGTCAGCTGGTTGAGGGTGTCCGTGGCGACGCCTCGCACCACGCCGCTGTGAGCTGGAGCAGGAGGTGAGGTTAATGACCGAGACACACATTGGCCCAATCACAGACAAGGAATTGAACACACCTTTCTCATCATCCCCATAGCAACCACGGTGCTGCCCGGACTGCAGATTGTAGACGTCAACACGACCGCAGGACAAGCCAATCACAGCAAAGTTACCACAGGAAGTGATGGCAACAGCCTAGGACCAGAGACAGGAAGTCGTGTAAGCACAAGACACTGCAGGGGAGGAGCTAAGCGAAATAGGTTTACACATCCTGTTACCGTGGCGACGGCGTCTCTTCGGCCTCCTGGCGGCTGCAGGTGATGAGCTCCCATGGAGCACCGCTGGTAACTCCACGTGGTGGTTGTTTGGCGACCGCGATGACACGCGACGATGCCGTCCCAGTCCGACTGACGAGTGACAGCTGTCAATCAACAGAGAGAGACCGGCGGTCAGCTGTGGCTTAAATAACCCTAACCCTCTATGGAGGTCTGAGCGAAGGTCAGAGCGCCCACCGGAGGAGAACGCTGTGATGGCAGGAAGACGCAGCTCCTCGTAGGACAGCCCCTTCTTCTTCTTCTGCTCTTTCTTCTTGCTGATGGAGCCTGAAATCAAAGCAGACTTAATGACGGCGCCACCAGCTGGTGGAGCTTCACACTGAACAGTCTTGTAGGAAGCGTGGACTGACCGTGACCCAGATTCTTGTTGAAACGTTCGTGGACGGTGGAGAAAGACTGCAGTGTGCCGTCCTGACCTGCAGGGGGCACACACACCCCAAGTTAACAGCTGTAGCTAGGCAGACACAC